TTTGCTCATCCTTTCGACGGAAAGTTGCGCGAGGCCAGACACGGCCTTGGAGACTTACCTGTCGCCCGGCACGTTGCTCCTCTCTCTCTCTCTCTCTCTCTCTCTCTCTCCCCATCGTTCTCACTGCCCGCGGTAGCACCGAACCCGCCCGCTCTCTCTCTCTCTCTCTCTCTCTTTCTCTCTCTCTCCCCCATCGTTCCCACTGCCCGCGGTAGCACTGAACCCGCCCTCTCTCTCTCTCTCGCCGTTTCGAATTGCCGCCTCGCCCCTCCGGACCTTGGCCTCCGCGTACACGCCTGCCCCGCTTTGGCCTGCTTACCCGGTTCCCGCCCCTTCGCCTCTGCACACGCACCCCGCTTTGCCCCGCGGCCTGCCCCGGAAATTTGCGGTCCTCTCCTCCGCTGAGGCCTGGCGCGCCAGCACTTTCGTGGGCCTCTCCTCCCCTGAGGCCTGGACCCCGCCTCGAAATTTGCGGTCCCGCTGCCCGTTTCGGGTCTCCTCCCGGTCCCACTGCCCGTCTCCCAGTGCCGCCCGCCTCCTGAGATTTTTGCTGGGCCCGCGACGGGGCATGTCGCCGGGCCCTCTCCATCCTTTAGTATGTATAGAGATAGAGATGTATACCCCCCTCCGCCCCCCTTGACAGCCATCTCGCAAAAAAGGAAATGAGCCCGGATTTGGGATCCTCTTTGGGAGAGCGCAGAAAACCCAAAAAAAAAAAAAAAATCTCTTTTTTTGTTTTTGCACGCCCGGGTGCCCGGCCCGGGCGTGAGAATCTTCCTAGGGCGAAACACAACTTTTTTGCGAAACACACACAAGGGCAAAAGAAAAGAAGAAGTGTCTGCGAGCGCGGAAATTCTCACAGTGCGGTGCTCAAACTCAGCAGTAAGTTGCCAGTGCCTTTTTTTTTTTGTCCGGGCCTTAGCGGACAAGTTGATGGGTTTCTTTTCCTTTTTTGATGGGTTTCTTTTCCTTTTTGGACCCCGTCTGACCATAGAATTGGCTTGGGGTGGTATTTTCAAGGATATGGAAACCTTAGGTCTTCCCTCGAATAGAAGGCATGGTTACTATAGCTGTACTTGGGGCGACTTTCCATCTACAGACCTATAACGAGATGGTCGACCAAGAAAATTGACAGATACAAGGCCCCAGATGGGCAGACTGCATCCTGCAAGCCCCAGATTGTTCTACCAGTCAAAGCCAAGGGAAAAGGTGCCCAAAAGAGCTGTCCAGAGGGCCCCTTTGCTTTCTTTCTTTTTTTCTCAATGAACCAATGAGAGTCAAGAACGTTTTTGTGGAAAAAAAAAGAAAAAAAAAACAGAGTCCAGAACCGACAAAGTTGCCAGAAAAAGAAAAAAGTTGCGGAAACCTCCCCGAGTTGAATTCGGAGTACTTTGAGTTTCTTTTCTCGTTTGACGTGCAGCCAATTTTTTATTTTCCGCCTCCCATTCTTTGCAAATAAAAAGACGAAGAACAAAATAACAAAATAAAAACACAACTTCGAAATATAAATCATCATGGTTTTGCTGCCATCCGATTTCGCTGCAACAACGGTCGGGCGATTGCCTGCAGTTGTTGTCTCACAGGTGGGTTTGTTTTTTTTTTTTTCCGAGGAAATTGTTTTTATGATTAAGCCGGGAAAAGTGTCTGGTGTCCCTTACAAAAGATAGCAAAAAAATGCTAATGCTAATCTTCTCTATATATGCACACCGGGTGGTGCGTTAGCTGCGCTAACACGCCGCCCCAGTGGCAGCGTTCGGGCGTTGGGGGATCGCCCACGGGGCCGACAACATCTGTCTGCTTTGATTGCCAAAACTTGGCGCTGGAGGGACCATGGCGGCGCAGGGAAGAACACTGGGGTGTTAGGGGGGCGTGCCAGGGAGCTGTGATATGCTCCTGGTCGTTGCTGGTCTCACTTGACTTCTGTCAGGAATCTTGGTTTGGTGGAGGAAGGAGAGCGTGATTCGTGGGGGTCATTGGCGGGTGGAATCCGGACGCTGCACCATACCTGACGAGACCGATCGGGGGTGCTGACCCCTCGATCTTTGATACGGAGGTTTTTGCGGGGGTCTCCTGCCCTGACACTGTTGCCAGGGTTAGCCCGCAAAGGTGAGGAAGACAGGAGCAATGGAGATTGCAGACTTCTCATGTTCGCTGCACAGCGAGGGTACGTGGGGGTTTCGCATATGATTTCCAGCAGGAGCACACATTGACTTCATGGATTGGGCGTGCTCACCTGCCGTGGCCCGTGTTAGGGTCTGAGAGAGAGAGAGAGAGAGAGAGAGAGAGAGAGAGAGAGAGAGAGAGAGAGAGNGAGAGAGAGAGAGAGAGAGAGAGAGAGAGAGAGAGAGAGAGAGAGAGAGAGAGAGAGAGAGAGAGAGAGAGTTACATATTTGGGTTGAGCAATCGTAGGTTTGATTTCCATCTTTTTGTGATAGGATTTGATTTCCGTTTCGCTGTTTGGGTAATAGTTGTAGTAATTAGTTCCGATTGTGCAGCGTTTTGCATGCGATGGAATGAAAGAGAGAGTGCCGATCTGTAGAAACGTCACTATGGTGGGCAGTGGGGTTTCCTTGTGAGAAGGTGCAGATTAGTGGAAGTGGTTTTCCCTAAATCGCGAGGAGGCGGGTGGGTTTGCGGGGTCTTTGACCCCTGCCGTGCGGGAGGTAGGGTATCCGCTGAGACGTTGAATTTGGGTCAGATATTCATTTCATCCTAATAGGCTGCTGTTTGCTGTCATCTGAATTCTTAAGGAGAAGTGGTGAGCATTGCTCCACAGGGGCTTCGTCATGGGGGGAGGGGAAGCATCCGTAGGGGGTATATGCAGATTGAGGGAGAGGCTTACCCTAAATCGCGAGGAGGTGGGTGGGTTTCGTGGGGCTTTTTAGCCCCCGCCGCGTGGGAGGTAGGGTAATCCCCTGGTTAGTGAAAACAGCATCGTGGTGGTAGTTGGTGTTTTTGTAAAGAAGAGCGTGGGGAGGTGCTATCCGCTTTGAATCGCGAGGAGGTGGGTGGGTTTGTGGGGTCTCTGTCAGCAGTTGGGGCCTGAGGGCACAGACCCCTGCCGCGCGGGTGGTAGGGCAGATTGGCAGGGGTTGGTAATAACTCCGGATGAAAGGTGGACACGATCACACAAGGCTGATCGATCGTTTCTTATTTGTGGTTTGATTCGTTTTTTCCCGGTTTGTGGAATTTAGGTCACTAACTTAGGGTTCACATGACTATGGGGCTCGTTCGACACTCCTCGGGCCGTCCTCAGGCCCCGAGGAAATTATCCCGTCGTCGCCCGAGGAAATTCGCGCCGTCGTTCCACTCATCCTTGGAATTGTTCCCCGAGGACGATTCCTCGGGGCCTCCCGCGTCCACTTTCATATATCGACAAGCGGACGCGGGGGAGGGGAGGGGGTTGGTCCAGCAAGGTGTGTCCGTGCCGACGTCGTTGGTCCAGCTCGGGCGGGGGTGGCAAATTCGAAAGGTGGCAGCGCAAAAAAAAATGGCACGAAAAAGGCACGCAGGCCCGGGTTCGAAATTTGAAATTCGAATTTCCGCAAGCGACCGGCCAGTACCGTGGGCGTCCCTTGTGGCTGACGGCAGCAACGTTCCTCGGCGGAAGCATTTGGGTACGGGGTGGCTGGTGCGTGTCGGTGGGCACGCCGAACGTACATGTACGCGTCCGAAGCAGCAGACACGCCGTCACACGATTGCCGTCGTTATCGTCTTTGCAGCCGAGCTTGATCGTCGATGTGTACGTTGTGCACTCTGGTCGTCACTCGCATCAGTGTTGTCGTTCGGCCAGCCACACGTGGAGTCTTCTGCACTTGGCGACGGCCACGTCGACAGTACCAGTTTCGGCGATGACCATGAACGGGGGGATGCGACGTGACACATTGAGCAAGGCGAAGAGGATGGCGGTGGCAGCGGCCGTGAACGCCATCCTTTTCCGATGTCAATTGCAGAGGGGCGAGGGGAGGATGAGAGCGGCCATTCGCGCACGGCGGAAGAGGACGCTGCAGTCCACAAATCTGGAGGGAGAGAACAGTGGTGTCATTTGCGACGCCGTGCTGCAGGTGTGCTACGCCATGGGGTGTGGAGCATTCCCCAGAGCGACGCCCAGGTGGTGGATGAAGCGACGGACATGCGGGACGTGGGAGGATCTTCGGCAATGCGACGACGCTGCGCATGTCGCCACGTGTGTTCCGACTCCTGAGAGATCACGGAAGCTTTGTCTCCCATCCTTGAACGGAATGTCACTTTCTATAGGGAGCCCCTCCAGCTTGACCATATTGTCGCGTACACTTTGTACAAGTGGGCGTCGGGGGAGACGTATGAGAGCGGGACATGCAACTTCGGCATTGGCAGATCTTTCGGGTTGGTGGTTGTGCGGGATGTAACTGCGGCGTTGCTGAGTGCGTACCCCGACAAGATATCCTGGGCGATGGGTCTGCAGAAGGCGGTCGTCTTGCGCGCTTTCGCTGACAAGGGTTTCCCTAACGGCCATGGGTGCATTGACTGCATTCACATCTTCATCGACAAGCCAGCAAATTGCCCCGGGGAGGACTACTACGATAGAAAACGCCGTTTCTCCGTCCAGGCGCAGGTCATCGTCGATTTGAACTTGCGCGTGCTGGATGTATTCGTCAGTTATCCCGGAAGTTGCCACGACGTGAGGATCATCCACCTGTCCAGTTTATGGGCGCGCGCGGAGGCGGGGAACTTTTCACTGGGCCACCTGTCATGCTGCTTTTCGTTGTGTGGATGAACGGTTATCTGCTCGGGGACAACGGTTATCCGCCCTCCGAATGGGTAGTCGTCCCCTACGGCGGTCTCTCACAAACCCCGTCGGAGGTGCGCTTCGACAACAAACAGAAGACGGCGAGGGGAGCAGTTGAGAGGGCTTTCGGGAGACTGAAGGGGATGTGGAGGTTGCTCCTTCGCTCCCACAAGACGAACATGGAGGAGCAGGAGGTCGATGATGCACACGTGGAAGACAACCAAGAGGAGGAGTAGGAGGATGACCAGCACCAGCAGCGGCAGCCTCCGAAAGATGTCGGCCATGAAACGCACGTGGACGATGCCAACAGCTAGAAGACAACCGTGGACGTCCAGGAAACGGCGAGGGTCAGTGCCGCAAACGGACGATCGCAGCTACCGACAAAAGCAGGGTAACGTATTCAGTCGCGGGAGACACTGCGCAATCGGGAGAGCGGGTGTGGGCTGAAGTATTCGAAACTGCCGACCGTTGGCTGCCTTCCCGCTACTGCCGAAGGGCGGCGACGCAAGGCAGCCCCTTTTTGACGTCGCGGAGGATGGCAGGCCGCCAAAGGGGACCGTTGGCGGAGTATTCCATGACACCGACCGTTGCCAACCGGAGATGTCCGTCCACGGGCCGCTAGGAACAGCAATGGACCAGCCGCATCGAAAATTATCGACTAGAGAGCTGCCGTCGACACCCCGATTCTTTCGGATGCTCGACGGGAGGTCCCTTGGAGAACGCGTCGAAATGGCTGTAGCCCGAGGAATCCCCGAGGAAATGTTTTCACATTTTTTTTTTGTTTTCTTCCCCGAGGATAAGTGGAACGATGATTTCCTGGGGGATTTTACGCGCCCGAGGAGTGTCGAACGAGCCCCTATTGCGATTACGTTTTTAGTGACGAACTCTAGATTTTCTTAGTATTTTCATTTCGTAAGGATAATTTAGATTGTGATGATAAGTTTCGTTGAGTAGAATCTCTTTCCAAACTAATTTGAAGAGAAGTCTCATTATACGATATGAGAGTAATTGACTATTTGAGTAATTAAATGACAAACAAGATATATAAACTCTAAAGAATCATCATTCACAGGGATTGACGTTTTGAGTTGTTGGGGCTGTGGAGTTGGCTGTGGGGTTAAATCTAGTGGTGTTGAGGATACTCATCAAGGAACAGAATGGCCAAATCGAGACCGCTGTCCTGGCGTTCCACAACCCTGGGAAAAAAAGGAGAAAACCACAAACTTACCTTCACGGCCAGCAAAACCTAACAATTCCAAAAAAAGACAACCAACCAGAGCCCCAATCTACCCCCCTACTCAGCCTTATTACCCCTCTTACCTTCTAAAGCGAAGGTAACAGTAGGCCCCAAATTCGTCTCTACGAAGAACGCTCCTTCCTTTCCCATTGTGCCAATCTGCCCGTCTACTGCGACCAAACAGGAACCGAGCAAACCAGGTTCATCCTATTTCCCTATGAAGAAAATAGCCACTGGTCCAAAACAAGATTGTCGTTCTCAATTCTTGCAAGAGTACCTCGAGCACACCATGTGTCTTTGAACCATCTCCGGACAGTAGGCCCATTCCCTGCTGACAGAACTTCCTTCTCCAGTCAGCCTGGATAGATTGTCTTATTCCCTTCTGCACTGTAGCACGAATTTGTTTATTCGACCAATCGTGACCTTTGAATATACAATCATTTCTTCCTTGCCAAATTGTCGCACAAACCACAGCTCTCAACGTCTGCGCCACATATCCCCAACCCTGAGATGGGGAGAGATGCTCAGGAATACCTCCCAATAAAGTCCAATGCTTGTCCCACCTCAATGCCCTGCCTGAAATGTTCTCCCAGGGTAAAGCTCCCAGCATTGTTTTTCTGTTCTTCCGGGTTGTTTGTTGAGGTATTCCCGGCCTCAGTTTCTTGAGCATTAGTGAAAGCCTGCAAAAAAAAAAAAAAAAAAAAAAAAAAAAAAAAAAAAAAAAAAAAAAAATCACG